CAATTCACAAGCGCCCTCACATTCTTACTTCCATCTGCCCTCCACACCCTTGTCAAGTAGCTTCTAGGATCTTACGCTACGGCCATCCTTCTCTATCTAGTCTCGTTTTAACAACCAGCAGATCCTGAGTACGCACTGCAGTGCAGGTCAGCCTGTATTTCTGGGGTTAAGTTCTAAAGTCTGCCTTTAAGGCAAAAGTCAAGTGTAATTAAAAATCACCTATAGAAACAAAATCACTCATGAAAATCCCTTAGCTGGGACCTGGGCCCTTGAAAACTCAAAAACCAAGAACTGAGGTCTTGTGGAGTCTTTGCGTTACCACCACAGCTTCTCTTTCCCTGGGGGCAGCAGAGATACCTACGGTGAGCAGGGAAGGACAGAGGGCTAAATAAAGGGATTTCTCCGTCTCTACCCTGGGCTGGAAAAATTGATTTCACAAGTTAAATTGAGTGTATGATATGACTCCATTGTACTTGCAAGGCATATGCTACGTGCCATCAGGCAAAGAAATGAACGTTAAGACCCCTGCCCTCACATAACCTATAATCCAGCTGGGGGAGATCAGTTCATCCTCTGAAAATGGCAGATAACCGATATACACAAAACCATCAGAACACGATAGGAAGGGATACGGACATTCAAAGGAAGAAGAAGTGCTGTAGTATGGGTTGGGCTCAAAAGGCTTTCATGGAGAAATTTAAACTGGTTCTTACAACATGAATATGTTCTTCAAGGTGGGCTGACTCGGAACCAACCAGGGTTCCAGGTAAAACTGACCCTGTCACTTAAGCAAAGGATAGTATTTTCTATTATGTCTCCACTTTCTATCTTGAAAGTGCCAGGTAATTCACCTGCCACTCCGTCCACAGCAGTACGTTAAGTCAAGGTTCTTAGGGGAACCAGGCACCATAGTTCCAGTACTATTTGGTTACAAAGCTTAAATTAAATCTTGATATTATTGTTACGCTAAAATACAGAATTATACAACTAAGAACACAGTACTTGCTTCTTTACAATAGTGTAACACTTTATTACATGAGCATTTCACCTGACTTTCCCGACATATTACACATACCACAAAAATACTTTTCTTTTTTGACCCTAAGTCATTCGTTACTTGGATAGGCTCACACCAGCCTGTGCTCAAATTCAACTTGTCCATTTCTGCTTCCTTGCAGAGTCCTAAGATCTCCTCCAAGTCTCCCTGCCCATTTTGTCTCTTTCTCGACTCTGAGGACTCAAGGTGACTGAGACAGTCCCTGGACGATGGCCCTGGGCCACATGGCACTCTGAATGAATGCAAGGAAGCAAGTACTTAAGTACACATCCTGGACACAGTTCTGATCCTGGGCTGGCTCCAGTCACCCCTCACTGGGCTTTTTCAGAAGGGGAAGGAGTGACAGGCAAAGAAGGACCCGGAAGCTGATCCAAGGCCAGCTGGAATAAGGGTCAATAGGAAGAGAGTCCAGGCACAGATATTTAAATAGACAGCCTGACCCACATGGGGAGCAATTTAATAAATCAACCTCACATAGCACATTTCCAAAATTCAGATGCTGGCCAATTTCTCCAGGTCTGAAGGACGCTTCTGACTTTTCCTTTTAGAGGTGGAATGAGCGTGAGTCAGAAATACCAAGTTCAAATCCAGATTTTGTTAAGATTCTGCTTAAGCACTCAAGAGACTTTAGACATTTCCTAACTTTCAGCTTCAGTTTCTTCATCTATAAAGGGAGCTAGTTGGACTAGATGATCTCTAGTTCAGTAAACACGATTTTAAGAGCGGAAGCATCGCAAGTCTGAGAAAAACCAAGAGCAAATGTTAGAGTCAGAACAGAAGCGACAGTGGGCCTGGAGAGCCTTAGGAAGACAGCAGTGATCAGAAAGTTCCCCAAAATAAGAAAATGGCAATTGGATTAGACCCAGGATTGCTCCCTGAGGATATCACTTATCTCTTCCTTCCAGATTCTGCCCTGCAGTCATACACAGATCCGTCTCTTCCCAGAAGAGCTAAGAGGGATGATTCACAGGATGGACATACCCACAGATGCCACCCCCTACTTTCTACCTAGGCAGGGTGACTCAACCTTAACTACCTAAGAGAAATGAAAGATTCCAAGGTCCTCAGACCTCAGTAACTCAGCCAACCAACTAATAACCTTTTGGAGTCTGAAACTTCTTTAATACACAGCCGAGGAAAGTTTTACAAGTCTCTATTTCAATTTTACAGTCCCCAGAGTTCTAGGAACACCCAGCATGTTTTAAGGCTCTCAGATACAATATTATTCTGTTATAAAATGTTAAGTAGAGTTTAAAATGTTATTAAATATTTAAATGGCATCGTAGAAAGTTTAACCCACAAACATCTATGGTTTGTTCCCATAATTCTGCATTCATCTGCTATGCCCACACATCTTTGGTATTTTACTTCTCCTGCCTCAGTAAAGTCCCCTGTTCAAGAAACTAACTTTTGTTATAAGTCTAAGATGGATTAAAGTTAAATTGCTTTGAAAATGGGTTTCATAAATGTGACTAAGTTTAAATTACCCAACCTACAATAACCTTTGACTTTACTCTTTGGCAGAGTGAGAATCACAGGATGTTTAACACCTGTGGAGTAGCAGGGCACACAGTAGGAATTCAGTTACTGCTTCTAAATGCATCATCATTTAGTCAGCAAATACCCATGCCAGGCAGGAATCAGGCACTTTGCATGTTATCTCTTAATCCTCACAACAGCCCTATTAAGCAGTAATAATCTCCGTTTTACAGATAAAGACACTAAGGCTCAAAGTAACAGCTGAGAAGGAATTTTGAGCTCAGGTCTCTCTCACCAGTTCCCTGAAATACTCCCACTGAGCTTTTCCATCAAGTACAGAGTTTAGGAAGCTGGCCCAGAAGTTGTGAGGTCTCAGCCTCACCGGCTGTTATTTACACACATCCTTTACTGACAAAGGTTACAACTGATGTGGATATGATATGGCCTGTGTGTGCTGGTTCTCCTGGTGGGGCCAATGCTGCTGGAATACTTTACCAAAAGAAGCGATTGGGGGTGGGGGGAGGGGAGGGGCGTGGAGGTGGGGGAAGCAGCATTTGACATAAACCACAGCCCCTTAGAGTGTGGTTACTGCCACACTCTGAGCTCGAAGGAAAGATACAGCCCCCTTAGAGTGAGCTGCTCCTCTCCTTCAGTCCCTAAGAAGAGCATTTCTAGAAGGCATCAGACCCCAAACACAGGCTGCTTCTTACTTACCTGCAGCAGCTCTCATAGAGAAGCCCACCAGAGAGAACAAGCTTTAGCAAGCATGCGGCTAACCTTAGTGACAACAGAGATCCTGGCTGAAGTCACGTTTTGCAAATCTCCACCAAGACACTTTCTTGCCCCAGTACTTCCCCTTCACAATCTTTGCTTGAACAAGTATTTCAAGGAAACCACCAGCTTCAGGAGGCATCTGGCGCAGAGAATGCTAAGGAGAATGTATTCCTCCTGCGGGCCCACGATCATTTCTGCACTAACAAGTTCATTCTCCATATGGGTAGATACACATCTACAAGCTCAAGTATTCAGAGACACTAAATGTCATCCATTCACTGAGTTACCAGAAGCCACCTTCCATTTCAAATTTACAGCATAATTATTTCTACTGAGAGAAAGCAGAGTATAAGCAGCTGGCCAGGCCTGCAGACCACCCCCAACTAATTTCTTTGCTTCACTAGCAGGTGTTACCAGAAAAATCTGACTTTAAGATTCAGGGACCCGCAACATTCACCGATTCCAAAGTTCTCAATTGCTGAAATCAAGAGGTTTCCTCCAGCCCCTAAAATCCCATTCCCCTCTCATAAACACAAAGTCCTCTCTCCTGTAGCTGCACTTTGCTTTCTTCGCTCTGTTGGTCCTGGAAGTACCTCAGTTCAACTAAAGGCCTGTGGGGAGGGGGGACCTTTTGTGAGTTTATTTTTCGGTAGCACAGATCAAGAATGTAGCTCACAGCGATTACGGCGACTAAGCTCCCAAATACCTTCTCCAGCCTAAAGAGTTTGATCATGTGGGAACCAAACACTGTCTCCAAAGAAAAAGAGAGGCTAAGAGTGCCGGTCTCCACTTTCTCCAGGGAAGAGCACTGCTCTGCCATGGTGCGGGGCTGTCACTTCCAAACCTTGTTTGCAAAGCACCAGTCCAGATCGGACATTTTGCTTTCACCCCTCGGCAGGGCCTGCCCAGTGCAGGGGCCCAGAGGGTCTCGGGTGGCGCCGGACGCTTTGGGGCTTGGGCGAAGGGTCGGTCACACCACTAAGAGGGGTCTTGTTTTCTCAGCTGATCTAGCCTGCGAACAGGTGCGTGGTTAGTTCCATCTTTTTTTTTTTTTTTTTTTTTTTAGTTCCATCTTTTTGAAAAGGGGAAAGGCATGTAAAAGTCTCTCCTACTGGAACACCCGCCCTTCGGGGAAAGCCTCGCAGGACGTGATGAAAGATGGCTTTCCAACTTCTGCGGGGCGCGCGAGTCTGCGGGGGGCCGCGGTGCTCTCTGTGAGTTTGGGAAAGGCCTGGATCTCCCTGAACGACCCTCCCAGTCACCTCACCGCAGCGTACAGCGACCCTCCACCCCACGTCACCCCCGCCTAGCACACACGTGAAGCTCAGCAAAGCATGCCACCTGCCGGGTTCCCAGCAAACACGCCCAGAGGGAAGGACCGCCGGAAAACACTTTGTTTAAAAAAAAAAAAGTAAACTCTCCCGGGGCCGAGGACAGCCCCGCCTGGCACCGGGGCCGCGGTCCGCAGGGGTCGGCCCCCGGGTTCTCCTCCTTCCGGGGCTGAATGGGGGGGAGGCGCGGCGCCGGGCGGGGCCGGAGGCGAGCGCGCGGGGCGTCGGGCCCCGCTCCCCCCGGGGGCCGGCGGAGTCCCGGGCGAGGCAGGGCCGGCCGGCGGGAACGCGGCGCGCCCTCGCCCCGGTTCGCTCGCGGGCCGGCGCCCCGATGGGGTGGGCAGAATAGGGGAACTCACAGCCGCTTGTCCTCGGGCTGCAGCTGCCAGTGCATGGCCAGCGAGAAGCCGAAGAGGCTCCCGGAGTCCCCGGTTTTCTCGATCACATTGTCCTCGCGGGTGTCCAAGTTGAAGGCGGCGCCGAGCCGCGGCAGGAGCCCCGCCGACAGGTAGAGCAGCCACAGTCGCCCCGCGGCCGCCATAGGCCGGCGCAGCGGGAGGGGAGCGGGAAGCTGCGCGGCCGCCCTGCGCTGCGGGCTGGGTTCGAGGCTGCCGCCGCGGCCACCTCGGTCTCCTCTCGCCGCCTCGCCCGGCCCCACCCCCGGGACGAGTCGCGCTCTCCGCCTGGCCGCTCCCCCTCGCGGGCAGCTCCCGACCACTGAATGAGCCCGTTGTTCTCTGGAGACTCGCAGGCGTTTTATCAAGTGACGAGAACGCCGGCCCCGCCCCGGCCCTCCCCACCCCCTGGCCCCTCCTCGCACGCCCGCCGCCGGCACCTTCCCGGCCGGCCCGGCTGCGGTGCGGTGCGGCGCGGCGCTGCCCCTCCCTGCCGCCCCGCACCTGGCCCGGAAGCTGCGGCGGGGAGACCCGGAGGCGAGCTGCGGGCCGGGCAGCCCCGGCTCGGGTGTCCTCCTGGAGAGAAACACTTGAATTGTGGTTGCCATTCGGCGCAGAGCCGGGAAGGCGTTTACTACCTGTTAGTTAAGACAAGTGCTGGTGATGCGCCGGCCCTAATGCCCGGAGCCCTGGGCGCTCGCCAACCGAGGCCCACGTGCAAATGCAGGCTGCCTTCATTCATTCCACAAGTGTTTATGGAGCGATTAACGCGGGCCAGGTACTTGGGGAATGGAGCTCTATAGATTCTGCTCGGCCCTCAAAGACCTAACCGTCGAAAAGGATAACAGCACAAATAGGGCTGTGCAATTGACAACGCGCAGCTATTATTTCATGCTCCTAACAATCCTATGAGGTGGGTGTTTTCTTTTTGCAGATGAGAAAACTGAAGCTCAGCCTTGCCCCAGAGCATCCACAGATCTGCGTCCAGGTGGAAAAGAGAGTTGGTGGGAGAAGTCACACTGGTGTAGGCAGCTTCACACTTGGTTTCCAGGTGTTCTCAGACTGAGAAGGCCCTCAACAGGGAAGGATGAGTTATTTAAAGTGGCACCCACGAGCTCAGGAGCCCTTCTTCCCTGCCCCCAGATACCCAGAACTAGTTGGGAGGAGTACTTCCTGCCGAGAGACCGCTCTGAGTTCGGTGTGGGTGGCCTAAAGGCTCCAGCCTCCAGCACAAGGGGTGGGGCCTCCAGTGAGGTGTTGACCCCTGGGGTAACTTTATCCTGCAGGGGTTGTTAACCCGGGGAGAGAGAATTCAGGTTACTGTGAATTTGGATGGCAAAAAAAAAAAAATTACATTTTCATTTTCACTAATCTTTTAACTGACATTTAGCATTTCCTTCCATTATGAAGGTAGGCAGCACACCACGGTGGCAGTAAGAATCCATGACTTAGTCTCCAGTAGAACCCATAGGTTTTTTACATCACATCACAGTTGCTACAAATATCTTAAATTACAGTAGTTATCAGATAGACCCTCAGCTAGATCTTGTTATGTAATATGTCAATTAAAATGTATATAATAGTGCTATAACAATTTTTTAAAAATATTGTGTTAACTGTATTTCAATAAAATTGGTTTCCTTTGTAATCCCATGTATTTTATTTTATGCATTTAAAAACCTGGTTCTGGGCCTTCCCTGGCGGTTCACTGGTTAAGACTCCGTGCTTCCAATGCAGAGGACTCAGGTTCCATCCCTGGTCGGGGGAACTAAGATCCCACATGGCGCATGGCATGGCCAAAAGATTAAAAAAATAATAATAAAAACCTTGTTCTAAAAAGGGGTCCATGGTCTTCAGCAGTCTGCCAAAAATGCTAGCCCAAAGGCTCCTGGAATGCCTTGGGGAGCCCGCCTTGAAATCTAACATAGAAAGAGAAGCAGAGTGCAGTCCCAGGGAAGAGCTGGAGCTCTGAGTGTGCCTGTGGCGATGGGGGGTAGGGGTCATGTGCCATCTCGCCGCAAGGGGTATTTACACCAAGGGAGCAGCCTGTACCACACCGAAAAGCCACCTGAACATCATCAAGAGTCCACAGGTGGTAAGAGCTGCCAGGAGTGGGGTATGTCCCACTTCTCTCCCAATCGATACCTCCAGTCAAATATAGTCCAAAGTGGGGTGCAGTGAGTTCAAGTTCAGTAGACAATCTTGAAGATCACACTGTTTTAACCAGTACGTGATAACCTTGATAAGGTTGAGAAACCGTTGGAGACTATAATCTGGTAAGCTAAGAAACAGCTGCAATATGATTTTTCATGCAAGTTAGCCTTTCTTCTTCATGTTAAACACATACTATTCCAGAGGGTACAGGTCCCAGCTATTATAGTTAGAGCACAACGAACCTCACTGCAGGCTGGTACTCAGCAGGAGCCACTGATGGGGCTGTAATGGTTGCTGAAATACTTCTGAACTAGTAGCCAAAAGCTATGCCCTGAGCTCCCCAGGTTCAACTGGCCACTTTCCTAGGACCCGCCAACTTCCCCACAATTCAGCAGCTCAAAGGTTTGAGCCCTTAAGCCCTGCCTGGCACTACAAGGGCTTCTGATTGGGTGTGCTCATGTCATACCAACTGTTAACTATACCGAATATCACCCCTTGCTTCCAAGAGTAATTCTTGCTTCCTCCCAAAGGTATGTTTAGTCGATGATGTTTGAATAGCCAGAGTTAGCTCCTTGATCCCAAATACAGATTATGCTCAAATTGAAATTTTACATAATGTTAAATTTAAACATAGTGCTTCCAAATTGAGTACTACTTATGTGGGAGAAGGAGGGGATAAAAACAAGGATGAGAGACTCGTTCTGGAGTGTGCCAAGTGCCCATCACAGGGGACCCACACTCCTGCCTTCCACCTATCTCTGGTTACGATGCCAAACATACTTGAAATTGAGTCAAACCCAGGCTCTTAATAATAACCTCTTTGAAGATTGGCAGTGCTTCCTGATTAACTGTAACAATCAAGGTTTGTGAATTAGTTGTCATTTCCGTGGTAAATAGTTAAGGCTGACATAAGAGGTGTCTTAGAAAAAGGAGGTTTAGAGGTCCTTCAGGATCTGCTGAGGACAATGTCAGTCTATAGGGTCAAAGGAATGAAAGAATCAAGACATCTAAAAATTATGCATTAAAGACCTGAGGAGGGAGGTACATAGTTATAATGAAAAAAATTCTGGAACAAAAAGACACTTGTCTGGAACCAAAGTGAGAGAGAGAGCTTGATGATAAATGTGTGCTGACCATTAGATGGCATGGGGGGGGGGTGTGTGTATGAAAAAACCAAAGGGCTCTACAAATCCAGTTATGACAAAATTGTGTCATGTTCCCAAAAAGCCTCATTAGAAAACAAACAAAATGGAATACCTAAGAAAATGATATGATAATCACAGAAGAAATTTTACAAACTGAAATTTTTAAGTAAAAAGGCAGTGAAAGCAATGAATAGAAGCATTTGCTCAGTTGACAGCTTTTGAATTCTTGTATTTTACCGATATACTTTTCAAAAGAAATTTTTTTGTTCTATATTCCACTTATGGTAGAGGAGCTTGTAAATAATTTTAAACTATGGGTCACCCATGCAAAGGTCTGAGGTACTCACGTCATGCCTGATATATTTTCCATTTCCTGGGACCTACTTTAATCATTTTTGCTCTCAGGTTCCCTGTTCTATTGACTTTGTCGTCACCAACAGCAGAGGATATCATATTTGCTGCTTTTAGGCAACGTAGAAACTATTAAAACATCTCTTTATTCTTCTGTGGTCGCGTTACATCGCCATATCAACAGTTTCACGTGTTCCCTGCGGCCCTTTGATGAAGGCCATTTGTCAGAGTGGTTAGCAGATGGTCCGTGGAACCCAAGTCACTTCAGATCCCATCTCTGCTCCACACTGGCCAGGTGACCTTAAACAAGTCATTGAATCTCTCTCCACCTCAGTTTCCCCAGCTATGAAGTAGGGATAACAGCATCCACCCTCAAAGAGTCGCCTTGCCTTGAGGATGAATAAAGTTAGCGTGAGCTGAAGCACTTAGAATGTTGTGTCAGAACTTCCACCCATGTGTACAGGCTTTCACAATTTGGCTTTTACAAGTTATGCACTGACCCATGGTATACCTACAGTTTTATAAACTAGGTGTATATAGCAAACTGTTCCAAACTGGGATTCAGACTGTTCAGTGGCAGAGTTTTTTGTGTTTCAGAAAAAGAAATAGAGTTTTCTCCAATTGCTTTTTTTGTCTCTATATACGTGTTCAGGGGTTTTCCTTCCACACTGAACCTTAATGCTTTTTGTTTGGATATTTTATTTGCTGTAAGTCACAGCGCATTTTCTAGGGGCAAATCTGCCTTTGGTTTGGACCAGGATAATCCAGATTGCCAGCTCTACCTTATTTTAACACTCAGATCTATTTTATTTATTTATTTTCCCAGTTTTATTAAGATATAATTGCTATAGAACATTGTATAAGTTTAAGCTATACAATATAATGATTTGATATATGTATATATTATGAAATGATCACCACAATAAGTTTAGTTAACATCCATCACCTCACAGAGTTACAGTTTTTTTCCTTGTGATGAGAACTTTTAAGATTTATTATCTTAGCAACTCTCAAAGATACAATACAGTGTTGTTAACTATAGTCACCATGCTGTGCATTACAACCTCACAACATATTTATCTTACTAACTGGAAATTTGTTTCTTTTGACCACCTTCACCCATTTCCCCCCCCCACCCGCCTCTGGTAATCGCCCATCTGTTCTTTGTTTCTATGAGTTGTTTTTTGTTTTTTTTTTTCAGATTCCACATATAAGTGAGATCATACAATATTTGTCTTTTTCTGACTAATTTCACTTAGCATAATGCCCTCAAGGTCCATCCATGTTGTCACAAACAGCAGGATTTCTTTCTTTTCTATGATTGAATAATATTCCATTGTGTGATATATACGTGAAAATGTGATATATATATTTTTTCTTTACCCATTTTCTTTATCCATTCATCCATCAATAGACCCTTAGGTTGTTCACCAGATCTTTTTCTTAAAAAAAGATGCTTTTTTAAAATTTATTTTATTTTTGGCTGCGTTGGGTCTTCGTTGCTGCACGCAGGCTTTTCTCTGGTTGCGGTGAGTGGGGGCTACTCTTTGTTGCAGTGCTCAGGCTTCTCATTGTGGTGGCTTCTCTTGTTGCAGAACACAGGCTCTAGGCACACAGGCTTCAGTAGTTGTGGCATGGGGTCTCAGTCGTTGTGGCTTGCGGGCTCTAGAGCACAGGC